CCCCCGACCCTGCCTGTCTGGGTGTTTGCTGTCCACGGCTCTGACCCCGTGTGGCCTCTGTGTGTGGCTCTGTCACTCAGGGTTGTAACAGGGACCAGAGTTTCGCTCCTCTTCCGGGCTGCGTAATATTCCACCGCCCGGCCCTCATCCCCTCTGGCCCGCCGATGGACATCGCGTTGTTCTCTTTTCTGGGTGTTGTGGCCTGGAAACGGTGCTCAGGTTTGTTCACAGAAGGGGAAACTGAGTCACAGGGTCGTCCGCTCTCCCAGACAAAGTCTGAGCTAAGGCATCCCACGGACACTTTCTCACGGGGACAGGGACAGTGGCAACCGGCTGCACAGAACCCCAAGGTGGCAGAACCGGCTCCACTTGTCCCAGGGGGAGGGGACACGGTCACACGTCCCCCCCCTTCACCCCCGCCCCAAGCCCTGGTCCCCACCAGGTCCCCCTCGTCCTCGGGCCACAGCCGGGCTGGGTGCCTATTCTTGACAGGGTGTCGCTGGGCAGCCCTGGCCGACCTCGAACTCGTCACCCTCCTGCCTCGGTCACCCGGAGTGCTGGGGCGTCAGGTGAGGTCACCTCGACTTTCAACCCGCTGCTGTTTGAAGCCACCAGGTCGGGGTCCTTTATATGGCCGCCACGCCCCCGTCCCCGCACCCCAAATGATTCCTGCCCCTCCCCTCGGAGGAGGCAGAAGGGCAGACAGACAGGTTTGTCCTCGGGGACCGTGGCTCTGACACGCCCAGAAACGCTGGTGGCTGTTTTCTTTATCGTGGGTGTCAGCTCGGATTCTTTCGGGTTTTGCCGTTCGTGTCTCACTCCCCGATGCCTGCTGTGGAGCTGCCTCGGTTTCCCCTCGGTGACCGTCTGCCGCTGTGCTCCTCCGACACTTCGTAGGTGTTCTTTATGGACGTTGGCTACTAGTCCTTCAGCCCCCCCGTGTTAGCAGGACCGGGCACACGGGGGACAGGGGACATCGTAGCCGTCTGTCCTCCCCATCTTGTGGTCCACTGAGACGTGCAGCTCACACAGAGGACCTTTTTCTTTCTTTTCTGAATGCTTTTTTATCATGAAAATCTCCAAAAGGAAATTAACCCCCCCCCCAAGCTGACTCACAAGTGGGGGACAGCTCGTGAGAATCGCAAATGTCTCCCAGAAACTCCACCTGGCCACCTCGGCCCTGCGGAGGAGGCGTGGTCACCGGCTGTGTCCTCGTCACCCGTCTCCTAAAACTGGCACTGCCACCACCTCCAGGGAGCCCCGTGTCACCCGGTGTCCACGCTCCAGGGGGACAGGCCAGGGTCCTGCAAGGGCCACTTCCACGGTGACTGTCCCTGTGCTTGTGACAAGGGGACAAGTGCCTCATAAATTGGTGTCCCCGGACCCCCTCCTCAGGTTCTGTCCCTTTGAGCCCTGGATCACCCCCGTCCTGAAGTTGCCCAGGGCTGCTGCCGCTCATTAGCATAGATGTCAGCTCATTAGCATGGGGCGTTGCCTCATTAGCATACGGCGTATCAGCTCTTACCATAGACGGCTCATTAGCATACAGACTCATCCTCATTAGCATAAGGGAGCTGAGCTGGGAGGGACCCAGGGTTTTGGCGCAGTGATGGTGCAATGCAAATTTCCCAGGTTCAGAGCGTCGCACCTTTCCCACGGGGACATCAGGGGACATCGGCGGTGGGGCCACCGCAGCCTCTGGGCCTCCGGCAATGGGATGAGGCCCCCAGGTCCCCTAAAACCTGAAGCCATCGCTGCTCCCACAGACCCCAGTGTGGGGTCCCCAGCACCTCCTGTCGGTGACCCTTGTGCCCTGCGTGCTCCTCTGGTCCCCCATGACCCCCTGCCCGGCCTCCTCGCCCCAACACGGCTCTGGAACAGAAGTCAGAAGTGGATGTTGTGCTGGGGACGCGACCTGGAACCGGCTGGTACCGGCCCATTGCCACGACTGGCCACTGGGTGACAGGGACGGCCTGGAGTGTCCCCTCACTGGTACTGGTGACAGCGTGATGGTGCATCTGTCCTTTAGGTCAGCTGATGTCAGCTTAAGACAGACAGACAGGGTCAAGCAGACAGAAGGCACCGCCCAGCCGGGTCCACCTGTCCCTCCTGGTGGCCGCTGGGGCCCAGGCAAGGGACAGAACCAGGCCCTGATTGTTAAAGGGGATCCACCCCCAGCCGCACCTGCCAGCCCACAGGGCACAGAGGGGAAACTGAGGCTAACCTTTGTCCGTCCCGGCCCAGGGCCGGAAGTCCCATGTGACCCAGGGGACCCCAAATTTCATGAGGCCCCCGCCTCATGGACTGTCCCCTGCAAATGTCAAGGGACTTCGGGTGCCATGAGGTGAGGGTGGCCTGGCACCCCAGGACCTTTGCACGAGCCGTGCCTCCCGCTGGGGACCGGGAACATGTGGAAGTCACCAGACCAGGCTGGTCCCCTCGGAAATGGCTGGCCCATGTCACTGTAAACAGTCAGTGTCCAGAGACGTTGTCACAATGTCCAGCAAGGTGCCAGCCTGACGTGGCTTCTCCATGACCCCATATCTGGTCACTCGATCCTCGGTAAACACCGTCCTGAGGCGGTGGATGGTGCTGACGGCGGTTTTGTGACACCCAAGGAGCCTGGCGCTGGCTTTGCCCTGTGGCTCTGTAAACCAGTCACTTGTCACCGACCAGTGTGGCCACAGAACTGGGTCACTTCTCCCTGCCAAGTCCAAGCTCGGAAAACACCAGGCTGGCGATGTCACTGTCACCGGCCCGGGTCCCAGGGAGCGTCCACGGGGCCTGCATTGTGAGGAACTGAAAATTCCTCATGTCCCATCTTTCCTGTCCCCTGAGGACTCTGCGACATTAATCAGTGTCACAAATAGTCTCATTGGTCCCCCACGAGCCTCCTACACCTCATGCAAGGCTGGGAAGGCAGGGAGGCCAGGGTGAGGCTGGCACGGGGGGAGATCAGGTACTGTCCCCAAAAGTCACTTTGTGGCCCCGTAAGCCACCAAAGGCCAACAAGGCAGCAGCTGGGTTGATGCTTCCTCTGTGCACAGCAGACAGGGACATTGCAGGTGGGGTTTTGAAGGGTGAGTAGAAGTTTTGCTATCAAAAGCCAGGCATCCTAGGAGGCCCACACTGGGCCCAACGTCCTCTGTGGCACTGACCGGGGGGTCAGGGGTCCCTGGACAGTCAGTGTCCTGTTCCCGTTGAGGCTGGAACCGTGACCCCCTGGGCCTTCTTGCCTCTGGGGTGACCTCCTCTCCACACATCAAAACCCAAACGTCTCAAGAAGCCATCCCGGAGCCCTCAGTCCCCATCCTTCCCTTGGAGAGGTCAACATCCCTCTCTGTCCCTTACCAGTGTCACCTGTCCATCCAGTGTCACCAGTCCCTACCTACTCCATCTCGAAAGGCTCACCTTGGCCTAACCACAAAGTGGACAAAAAAGGGGGGTGGTGGGGGAGGACGCCCCGCCTAGACCCCTGTTTAAGGACCTCGGTCAGATCCCCTTCCTGCCCAGCCTTGGACACGCCACCGTGCCTCAGTTTCCCCACCTGTCTCGGCTCAGCCATCCTCGCCTCCCCCTCCCCCAGGCCCTGTGGCCTGAGTCATCGCTTCTGGAAAGGTTTGGGGACTTTCCTGAGAAGGGTGGGGTGACTGCAGCCTGTGCCAACTGGTGTACCCAGGCAGGGGCGGGGTTAAAAATGGTCACCCAGCGCCTTCCTGTGTGCGGGGGACACTGGCGACACAGCCAGGCCCACACAAACCTGGTGGCCGCAGGACCACGCAGGCCAGGCCGGACCTGGAGCTCAGAACGAGGGAGGCGGGAGCAGGTGCAAAGGTCCTGGGGTCCGTCGCTCTGGAGGGGTCCAGGGGCTGCGCTGGAGGGGACAGGGCCACCGGACAGGCCATCCCGTAACCCGAGCCCAGCAGGGACATGTGCCCCTCCCTCCCGCCCACAGCCCAGTGCTCGGGACAGAATGTGCCCAGGGGACAGCGGGTGGTGGCTGTGCCTGGTGGCCCCGTGGCTGTCGGGATTCCTGAACAGCAGCCCGGCTGGGCCACCTGCCAGTGCTGGAGGGAAAACAAGTGACCGGGGGTGGCCGGGCCACAGCCAGGCAGGCAGGGTGGCCCGGTGTCTGACCGCATGTGTGGTGGGTCTGAATTCAAGGGGGTCCCTTGCCCATCAGGATCTTCGTCTGTAACGTCAGTTAGTCAGTCCACAGCTTACCTGGTGCCAACTGGGGACAGAGCCGTGGCCTGGCCCTGCACTCACTGTGTCAGACAAAGAAGTGGATATCTAAGTGGGATCGCATAGTGGGAGACCATGGGGACAGTGGAAGGGAGGGTGGAGGGGTGGGTGATGGCTTTAGTCAGGAGAGTGGGTGACACTGGGAAGGTGACGCCATTGTGCAAAGAGGAGCCGGCTATAAGGCACAACGCGGGCAAAGGCCCTGAGGTGGGGCTAGAAGGGGGCGGAGCCAGATGGGCGTGGCCTCCCGCAGGGGCGGGGCCTGAGTCTCAGCTTGAGGAGCGGATACTTCCGTTGTGGGTGGGGCCTGCATTGTGGGCGGGGCCTAGACACAGGGGCGGGGCCTGAGTCTCAGCTTGAGGAACTGATACTTCCTTTGTAGGTGGGGCCATCATTGTGGGCGGGGCCTAGACACAGGGGCGGGGCCTGAGTCTCAGCTTGAGGAACTGATACTTCCTTTGTAGGTGGGGCCTGCATTATGGGCGGGGCCTAGACACAGGGGTGGGGCCTGAGTCTCAGATTGAGGAACTGATACTTCCTTTGTAGGTGGGGCCATCATTGTGGGCGGGGCCTCGGCTCAGGGGCGGGGCCTGAGTCTCAGCTTGAGGAGCGGATACTTCCGTTGTGGGCGGGGCCTGCATTGTGGGCGGGGCCTAGACACAGGGGCGGGGCTTGAGGCCTGAGCGTTGGGCCTGGCCTCCAGCGTGCAGGTTTTATTCACTTGTTCCTTTTGGACCTGGCCTCGCTGGACCTCATGCCCAGGGTCACAGGCGTGGCCGCCAGGGCCGGTTTTGAGTGGCGGCTCCATCAGTGTCACAGTGAGACACTGTGTCATCTCATTCTCTCCTGCTCACTTTGCCCACGTGAGCCGTTAAACACGGGGAATATTACTCAGCCTGGAAAAGGGAAGAAGCACTGATCCAGGCGGCCGCGTGGGTTGAGGGGAAGCCCCTTTGGAGGATGGAAGGTGTGGAATCATTTTGAAATACGGAGACTATATACGGGGGGTGGGTGAGGTGTCCAGGGCCTGGTTTATCCCCCAGCTGGGCCTCAGTTTCCCCCTGTGAAGGCTCGGCCCCTTGATTCTCACTGGGCAGGAACTCTGTCCCTCAAATGTGGTCTGAAACCACACACTAACAGCTGCGCACAGAACCTTTTATTTTGTAAAAAAAATGAAATAACTGTAAACGAGAACACATCTTAACATCTTAAGGCCTCTCGGAAATGCAGGGCGGGGGGGGCTGGTCCAGCTCCCCAGGGCACGGATGGGGGGGGTCCTCCAATGTGTCACCCCAGGCTGGTCCTGCCTGTCCCGTCCTGATCTGGGGTTTCCTGTCATAGGTCCTGGGCAACCGATCTGTCCTGAGGGACTTGGAAGAAGTCCCTGGGCCAGGAGTCTGTCCTCTTCAATCTTCAAAGGCCACGGCCGCTGTTCTGGCCACCCAGAGGCCGGACAGAGCTCCAGTGACCTGCTTTCCATAGTCCCTTTCCCCAGGCCGACGTCACTGCCACCTGCCCTCTGCGCCCCCCGTTCTGAGGCTGCCAGCCTCACTCAGCTCTGAAGTCCTGCACCGACTTTCTCCACTTGTTTGCTTGCCGAGCTCCTATTCATACGACAAAGGTCTCAGGCAAAATGCCCTTCCCCTCATTCTTCTTCTGCTTTTTCTCCTTTCTCCCAGCCTGGGTCCCCCTGGTTCCACACGACTGGAACGGTCTATGCCTGGGCACAGTCAGTCTGGGACTCTGCTGGACATTGGAACACCACAGGAGGACAGCCAGCCTGGTATCTCCTTGTCCCGTGTCACATCAAGACTGCTTTTCCCCAGGTTCAATGCAAAGTCATCGTAAGTGGACACACAGCTGTAGCCTAGCTTGTCCAGGCATCCTCTAGCCACTCAGCAGGTCATGGCCTCCGAAGACGGGTTGGGATCCTCCTGAAGGGGACATGCCCATGAAGCCATCACGCGCCCCCCCCACTGCCACCCTCACTGTGCCCAGGAATATACCTGGCAGACAGGGGCACCAGGAGGGCATGGGTTCCGAATGTATGCATAGGAGTTCGGTTTTTCTTTTGTTTTGTTTTGTTTTTTCTGGACACAGGGTCTCACCGTGTAGCCCAGGCTGGCCTGGACCTTGGCACCTCCTCCTGCCTGGGTCTCCCCCGTGCTGAGGTCTCAGGCTGGGTAGTTTAAAATCCCCCTAACCAGGCGTGGGGTGGGTGGTGGTGGGGACAAAGTGACACGGTCCCACCCCGGGGCACTGACCTCGGAGTAGAGGGGCGGCGGGCGCAAGCGGAATTCCTGGATGTAGAGAAAGTAGGAGCCGTCCAGGCACAGGCCGGGGTCCTGTGGTGGGAATGGGCTTGGCACGGTGGCCGTCACCTCCTCTGTCACCACGTCCGTGTACTCAGGAGGGGCTGGAAGCAAGTGGTGGGTGAGCAGGACAGCTGCGGGGCTGTGGGGCTCTAGATGACCTCATTATTCCTTTTTTGGTGGCCCTGGGCCACCCAAACCCAGGGCCTCAGGCTTACTAGGGTTGCTAGGCAGGGGCTGTCGCCCCCGAGCCACTGTGCCAACCCCTGTGCCTGGTGACCTTTCCCATAGGGTCTCACATTTCTGCCCTAGGTGACCTGGACCCTTGTCCTCTGCACTACAGCCAGTGACACAGCTGAGGACGTGGACACTGGAGGTGAGGGGGGCACCTCTGCCCACTGTCCACCCGCCAAGGCATGGCGTCCTCACCCTCGGGGGGCTCAGGCAGCGCTCCCGGCCCCCAGTCGAGCAGGAAGGCGGCCTGGCTGCCCACGCTGGACGAGCGGCTGCTGAAGGGGTGCAGGGGGACCGTGCCGACCACCAGCGGCAGCTCCAGCCGCAGCTTGGACGCGCCAGGGATGTCCACGCTGACCTGGGGACAAGGACGCACGGTGGGCGCACGGCCTCTAGGCCGCCTCCTCACCTGCACCCCGCGTCCCCTGCGCCCCTGCGCGCCCCGCGTCCCCTGCGCACCCCGCGTCCCCGAGTCCACTGCGTGCGCCGCGTCCCCTATGCGCCCCGCGCACCTGGAGCGAGTAGGCGACGTGCAGCACGCGGCAGTGCAGGATGGACGGCGCCAGCGGCGGGATGCGCAGTGCGGGGCCGCGCCACGGCGTCCTCTGCCCCGCGCCCACGGGCTCCCCCGCCACGCTGGCCACCACCGCGTGCTTCTGCTTGCGCGCGCCGCGGGCCACGAACGTCTGCGTTTGCACCAGGGCGGCGCGCGGGAGTACGGGGCGCACGCAGCCGTTGTCCACCTCGGCGACGATGGCGATCACCTCTCCTGCGCAGACGGCGGCCTCAGTTTCCCCCCCACGCCTCCTTCCAGAGCCCCAGCCGCCCTCCGCCCGGCCGCTCGCTACCTGGCGTGAAGCCCTTGCGGTCGATCTTGGCCGACAGGGACACGAGGCCGCGGGCGCAGTACCAGGGCCGGGCCACCTTCTCGCGGGTGCCCGCCTGAGGGGCCTGCGGGTGGGGGACAGGGACACGCATGCGTCTCTTGGTGTCCGCTAGGAACCGCAAAGCGGCCATGGCCAAGCCTGCGGTCACCCCAGGGCCTTTGCACCTGCTGAGCCCTCCTCCCCAGGGACTCGGTTTTTTTCAACAACCCTCGTGTCCCAGCTTCTAAACTCCAAAGCGCGCGGAGCAGCCCCGGCATCAGAGAGGGTGAAACACCTGCCCAGAGCCACACAGCACACAGGTGCAGCCGGCATTGGCACCCAGCTCATCAAAGGTCCCACTCTCCTCGTCACATCTGCCTCCGGGAACCCCAGTGACCCCCACTTTGTGGCGGGAGTGACAGCCGGCCCTTCTCACCAGCAGGGCGGGCGTGTTGATGTCCAGGGGCTCAATGACCGTGAACGCCTTCCTGGCCCGGCGCACAGGGAACCAGGGCCGGTGCAGGGTGGCCTTGACGCAATAGCGGACATGGCCATGCTTGCCCTCGAAAGATGTCACCAGGGCGCTGGGGGACGGATGGAGGGACACGATCTCAGGGCAGAGACCTAGGTGAAGCGAGGTCCCCAAAGTGTCGGGGGAGCCCCGGGCACCCCAACTTACAGGGGCAGCTGGAAGCTGAACGGGAACTCGTGGCGCCCCGCAGGCAGCGTCGTGGTGGCCCCGGTGTCTAGGTCGGAAAAGGTGGGGGGTGGTGGCTCAGTGGCTGCGCGCGGGGAACTCGGGGTGCGCCAGGCGCGCGCGGGGCGAAGGGGGGGGTGCGGGTCCCCCAACGTGTACCTGGCGCCAGCAGCGTGGCGCGGTGGCTCAGGAGCTCCACGCACTCGCTGTAGCTGTGCGTGTACGCGGTGCTCGCGCCCGCGCTGCGCGACTCGGTCCAGTGCACGTGCGCGCGGCCCCGCGCGCGCAGCCCCAGGGCGCCCACGCGCGCCGCTCCCGTCAGCTCCAGCCACACCCGGCCCGCCACGACCTGGCCGCCGCTGAACACCGGCTCGGCGCCCGCACTCGCGCCATCCAGTCGCACCGCAAACGCCTTCACCTGGCCGAACACCATCGCGCGCCCACCCTGGCTTCGAACCCGCGAGCGGGAGAACGGCGACGGCCCCCCAAAACGCGAGCGTAAACGCACGGGGTCCACAGCGCCAGAGACTGACTCCGCCAAGAGTGCGGGACGCCGCTTATATAGACCCAGGAGTGGTGGGCGTGGCCTCACGCGAAAGCCTCGCCCCCGCGGAAGGGATTCCACCAATAGCACTACGAGGAGGCGTGGCCTCACAAACAGCGTGGAGTCTATAAAACGCTGGTGCGCGGCCGCGCTGCGCTCTTAGCTCGCGCCCTCGCGGTGCGCGCGGGGACCCCCAGGGTTAAGAGGGGAAACTGAGGCCCTGAGGCCGGGCATGGATCACCGCGCAGCCCAGCTCCACCCCTCCAAGGCACCGCGCTCTGGATCGTCAGCTCGCCCCAGCTGTCCCTTGTCGCCTGCTGTCCCCTCCCCACCGCTCGCCTGCTGCAGACTCCTTTTCCCCCGCGCATCCCCAGCCTGCGTCCCCAGGCAGAGACGGGCGCAGGGCGGGGACGCCCAGCCATCCTCGGGTCCCTCCTGGGCCTCAGTTTCCCCATAAGAGCCTCTTGGGGCTCCGCCATGCTCCCCACCCCCTTCCCCGTCCCCCGGGTGACAACGGGGACCCCAGAGGCCTCGCCACCACCAATCGGGTCATAAAAAGCCAGGTCCAGCTGCAAGAGGCGCAGCGGAAAGGGACCCCGGAAAGGGGGACTGAGACGCTTCCCAGGGCCAGGTGGGGCCTGGAGAGGGAGGGACGAGGACACAGTGGCTCTGAGGGGACCAGTGACCCCAATTCCTCTCTTGCCCCTTCCTTTGTCCCCACGCTTGGTGAGGGGCGTCCCCCCCAACCCTCCCGTGGCCCCTTGGACTGCGTGGCCGGGGGATTCGGGGAGATGCTGGCCTTTGTCCCCCCATCTCCTCCCCCCTGGGGCCCAGTGGCACCGTCTTCTTGTGGGGTCCAAGCTGGTGTCTGAGGCTGGCCACACCCCGCTATCTGCGGTGGACAGACGTCCGGCTTGTCACAGGAGGCCAGCGTCCACCCACTATCGAACCCACGACCCACAGGGGACCCTTGTCATTCTGTCACAGACGACCCGTCCCCTCTCCCACCATTTCCTGCAATCCTGGCCACCTCCCTCTGAGCCTCAGTGTCCCCCACCCCAGCCCTGGACACAGTCCGAAGGCCAGTCACAGTGGTGGTTGATTGAATCATAGTCCCTGTATACAGCAGGTGCTCAATATGTGTGCAGGGAACACAGAGGGACCTTTGCAGGTCACCTGCCCCTCTGGGCCATGACCCGCCAACCCGGCTGGACACTGGCACTCCGGGGTTCATGGTGACCAATGGCCGAAAGCGACAAATGTTCCACTTATCCTCTGGCCACGTCCTCTGCTCTGTGGCTCCCAGGTGCGACCGGCACCGATGTCACCAAGGAGCTGTCCACATGGTGTGGTGGTGACCGGAGTCCCCGGCCCAGTGACAGGGGACACTTGGAGGTCCAGCCCGGCCACTCGGGTCCCCTGGGCCCAATTCAGCTGAGCCTCGTGAGCCGCGTGGGACATGGAGGTGACGGCCACACGAAGGCCAGGACACAGGGTCCAGCGGTGGAGGGACCCCGGTCACCCGCAGTCCGAGGGGGCTTCACGTGGCCGCTGGGGACTCTGGGCCTCGGGTCCCGGCCCTGACACTGGACACGCGTGCATGGCCTGGGCGAGGAGGCCAGGCAGGGCCTGCAGGGCGGTGACCAGCGTGTCCAGGCGGCACTCGCCTGCCTGGTTGTCACACGTGGAGCCTGGGGACAATTCTGGGCCCTGGCGGGAGGGAGGGACAGACAGACAGACAGACACAGCAGAGAAAAAGCAAAAGGGAATTTTAGGCTCAGCGCAGGACGGTGACACAGGCCACCTGCCACCTCCCGCAAGTGCCACCAGGGCCAGCCGGGGACATCCCTGCCTTGTGTCCCTTCTGGCTCCAGAGGCCCAGAGAGGCTTTGCTGGATGGGGAAACGGAGGCAGGAGGCTCGCTTGCTCCCATAAGGAGACCTGGTCCCCCCCAAACCCCTAAAGCTGGGGTGTGGCTCTGAGGCCCTGGGTTCATCTCAGACCCACAAACATGTGGGTGGGACCAGGACACAGGCAGCAGGGGACAGCGTGTGGCAGGGTCCAGGGCCAGCACTCAGGGTGGTGTTTGTTGAGTGACTGTATGAGCACATCGGGATGGCTGTGACAATGCCAGCTCCCACGTTTACAAAGTGTCAAGATCCACAGCCCAGGGCCTGGTGGGGACCCAGTCTTCAATGCTCGGGTCCCAGTGTCACCGGGGGTCTCGGTGGGGGATACGGAAAAGTCAGGGCAACGGGGTGCCAGCCCCCCCCAGGCACCATTGCTACATGTGGGAGAACTGGGGTGTCACCCAGTTGTGCAGTGCTTGATGGGTACTCGGGAATGTCTCCCCGGTATCCAGGTGCTGCATCTCACGCCTGTAATCGATTGCATATTGGGTGGTGAGCTTCCTGGCGGCCAAGGTGAAAAGGGGAACGTGGCTTAAAGTCTGCAAGTCGTTTTGTTATACCCATTGGGAACGCATGACCTGCTACCCGGACCAGAGTCTTTTTGTCCTATGCAGCGTGACTGACTGACTGACTGACTGACGGACACGGGAGGGGAGGGCGCGAGGCGCGGGACTCAGTGGTGGACGGCTTGGAAGAACTGAGGCAGTGTCTGCGGGCCCCGACCGGGTCCGGCCGCCTCGCGTGTCTGTGCGTGAGCCACGCTTCCCTGAGGGCGGTGGTGGCCGCCTTTTTGACCTGGAGACGGACGGACGGACGGAGGACAGTTGCTCAGGTGGCACACAAAACCAAGGGAGCTTCTGGAACGTGCCAGAAAAAAACTGGCGTCCCTAGGGTTCTCTCCGCGCAGGGGGGAAACTGAGGCACACAACGTTCCAACCGCCAAGGTTACAGAGTTTGTGACCAGTGGTGGGGGGGGAGGGGGACAAGCGGTGGCCACTGTCCTCACCCGCTTGGTCAGTTTTGCGAGTCCCTCGTGAAGTTGTGCGTGTGCTTCTCGGCCTTGGTCAGTTCCAGCTTTCGGGCCACCACGGCCACCACGGTCACCACCAGTGCCGTGCAGCCGGCGCCCTGTGTGCGGAGGTGGTGGGGTGGGACTGATCAGTGGCCGGCTCAGGGCCGCCTCCTCCTCCTCCAGGAAGCCCGCCGTGATTTCTCCTCCCTCCTGCTTATGACCGGGGGTCTGTCCCCAGCCCTGACCCCCATCAGCCCCAGGGTGGACTTGGATGCCACCGAGGAGTGACCAAGGCGACTCCCTGAGGACCTCAAAGCTACTTTTCAAGCAAAAACCCAGAACAGAGCAAGCTGCTAAGACGGGTCCACGTGGAGTACAACACAGCCAGGAAAAAGGACAGGAGGAGCCCACAGACGCGCACGGTCCAGGCGGCGAGGACCCAGGAGGACGCGCTGAAGGCCAGCAGCACGGTGCCCGGGCACACGGTCGTGAGTTTGCTGGTGACGAACCGGGCCTTGAAGGTGACCCTGCCCAGGGCCACCCACGCCGTCCACCTGCACCGTGGTGCACGCCTGTAATCCTGGCCGCCCGGGAGGCTGCACTTGGGAGGATCGTGATTTGAGGCCGTGTTTTTTTTTTTTTTTGAGGCGGGACCGGGATTTGAACTCAGGAGCCACATCCGCCGTAGGCCTGGCGCTCCGTCCTCCCGGCGTCCACCTTGGGCATCGCTGGGATCACAGGCGTGAAGCCCAGGCCCTGGCGTGAAATCGGCAAAACCCGGGGACCCCGGTGGCCGGCAGCTGGGAGGGACGGAGCTGGCCGGGGTCCTTTCCAGGGGACGATGGGGACCAGACCTGTAATGAGGCATTACAGGGCATGGCGGGGGGACAGTGGGAGCTGACCGCGGGGGTCCCCATGGCTGCCCCTGTCCCCACACTGAGCCCTAATAACCCCAATGTCCCCAGGCTGCACCCTGGTGTGACAGTCAGGATGGACAGAGACCACAGGACGCTCCCAGCTGGCCAAGTCCCCGTCCCTGTCCTTGGGCTGGGGTGACCGCTGGGGGTGACAGTAGCCCTGACGTCCGTCCCTGACCCCTGTCACCTGATCCCAAATCCCGGCCCTGACTTCCTTCTCCAAGCTGAGCCTCAGCCAGTGTCCACTGTCACCACCACCCACAGTGTCCCAGGAGGACGGTGACGTCCACGCTTGGACCCTCTGACCGTCTTCCTTAGCCGGGCTGGAGCCTGGGGACATCAGAGACCATGGGTGTCCACTGAGACCCCCTGCGTCATTCAAAGCCCCAAACATGGAGGCGGTGAGCCAGGGCCGTCCACGGCAAGCCACACGGCCTGGGGGGGGGACACAGGTGACAGGCGAGGCTCAGAGAGGGCCAGCACCTGGTCCAAGGATGCACAGCCAGAATTAAAGTGGTTCCAGCACCAAGGTGGACGCCAAGCAGAGCAGCCCAAGTCCCATGCCGAGGGTCACAGCGGTCCCCGCACCCCATGTCCCCCGCGCGCCCAAGAGCGTCCCCTGCTGCCCAGGGCGCGCGCGGGGGGGGGAAGGGAGGGGAGAGAAGGGGGCGTGGCGACGCCGCTGATTGGCCGAGCCCGGCTGGCCCCGCCCCCGGCGACCGCTCAGACCCCGCCCCCTCTCGCCCCCTATTTAAACACAGCGTCGCTTCTCGCACGCATTTTCAGACCAAGCGGTAGGGGTGGGGAATTCGGGGTTCCCCCAAAACGCCGCTCCCCAAAACAGGGCATCCCGACCTCACGGCCCTGCGTCCTGGGGGACTCTCACTGCGGGACACGGGCACGGGGTGCGGCAAGTGGGGTTCCCGGGCATCTTCTGGGGTGACCACTGCAAGCCACCCGGGGACATCAGGACCCCAAATGTGACCCCTAACAGCCAAGCACGTACCAGTGGGGTCACCAGGCCTGGGGTCCCCAAAACAGCTTCCCCAGCACCCAGGTGGCCAAACCTCACGTGTCCAACGCCACCGCGACTGGCGCCACCCGCCCCGTGCCCAGCGCTGGGCACCACCAGCC